TTGGACCATTTTTCGGAAAAAACCATGGGCTATAGTACAGGGAAATTTTCAGAAATTGACCAATTTTTTTAAATGGTTGTAACTCGAAAATTTGAACTCGGAATCGGCTCAAAATTTCTACACAGCATAAGTACATCAATATGTATCAGAAAATGTAATAAAAATTTTAGATGATTTTGGAGCTATTTTTTGGAAAACCATGGGCTATAGTACAGGAAAATTTTCAAAAATTGGCTCATTTTTTAAAATGGCCATAGCTTGAAAAATTGAAGTCGAAATCAGCTCAAACTTTCTACATAGCATAAATACATCAATATGTATTAGAAAATGTAATAAAAATTTGGAGTAATTTTGGAGCCATTTTTTGGAAAAACCCATGGGCTATATAGTACAGGGAAATTTTCAGAAATTGGCTCTGTAGTGACATCACAGAACTCATAAATATTCATGATCTTATTTTGTATATATATTGCATGCTGTATTATTAAAGATCAGTGTTTGGGTGTCAACACGAGGTATATAGCGATCTCTCTCTCTCTGGGCGCAACAACCAGCCTTGCCTGTCAATAGCCAGCACTTACACATAGCATCCCATATACGAATTGCTATAGCTCTTTTTTTTTAAAATGGCCGTAATTCAAAAATTTGAGCTCTAAATCGACTCAAACTTTCTACATAAGATGATCAATATGTATCAGAAAATGTAATAAAAATTTGGGGTAATTTTGGAGCCATTTTTTTGAAAAAACCATGGGCTATAGTACAGGGAAATTTTCAGAAATTGGCTCTTTTTTAAAATAGCCGTAACTCAAAAATTTGAGCTCAGAATTAGCTCAAACTTTCTACATAGCATGAATATATCAATATGTATCAGAAAATGTAACTGAAAAGAGAGGGAGAGAAGGAGGAAGAGTATGTCAATTAAACCTTGACACAGTTTAATATGTTCAATATACACATTCACTTGTGATTATCATAGCTTAGATATATCCTAAAAAGCAATAAGATGAAAAGGATAACTGGTAATAAAGGCACGAAATAAATAAAGGTACATATAATATTAATAATAATAATATCAACCCTGGGATTGCCTCATATACATTTGACCTTTGCTTCAGGAATCAGGACAGTATTGTCCTGAAAGGTAAGTCAGAAAAGAGAGTCTGGCATAGGGATTATCTCCTTTAAAATATATGTATGGGCAATGTGACTTATTATGGACCAATCATGAATTAATTGTTATTGGAAAGGTGCAGCTAGTCATCACAAATAACGATCACATCAAGTATGATGAATCACTTCATTACTATATCCTGTGTGTAGATATACACATAATGTATCTACACAGTTTATGCATACTCCTTTAGTATTCATCTGATAAAAACATTATAATTTAATATAAAGTGTATAATCAGCAAAGCAAAGATGATTAAGAATAGACTAGATCTATTTCTCACTGTCTTGTTCTTGTTGATCCTGTCAGTGGATGGAGCTGGTAATGTGTCATGAATGTACTTCATGTTTTG